GTACACAAGAATTACCCTACCAATTAATTAAGTAAACTAAATTAATTAACTAACCAACCAAACAACTAATAATAAGTATACAATAGTTACTTACTTATATATATATATATATATATATATATATATATATATAAACTAGCACTGGAGTGGGCATCTCATACTTTCAGATTTTTCACAAGCAGCAAAGTGATAAGACATATTTCACTAGTAAGTAAGGAGACAAGTGAATAAAAACAGTATAAGAAAGTATTCACCAATAAGTGAATCTGTATACTAACTACTTAAGCCTTCTACACTGTTATCAGTAACCATTCCCATAGTTTACTTTTTTTCTTTTCCACCAGCCAAAACTTTGATAAAAGTTGACATTCATGTAAACACAAGTTCATGCCAGCACAACTTATTTAAACAACCTGACAACTTATAGAAATATCAGTAAACCTGAATTATAAGTGAAACATTATAGCAATACCATGCTTTTATACAGACAGTGCACTGATCACTGATAGGACCGATCAAGCAGAAATATCACACCAGTGTAACCTTAAGCAGGTGCAAAGTAAAGTATTGATTGCCAACAAGAAATCCATTCTTCTTCTTGTCATTCTGTGCAGTGGAAAACAGGAAAAAGTTAAAATAAACTGGAAAACACCCATGCAAACAACTAGTTACTCATCATGCCAGGCCAAGTTTGGGATCTTGTGTAAGCACTGTTAGTTCTACAGAAAGAATCCTAGTTACCTCGTTCTGATGGCAATGGGTAGTTCTCCTTAATTTCAGAAAGGGATTCCTGATAGAGCAGATCCGAAGTATCTCCTGAGAGTTGGAAGTATATAACAATGTAAGAAGTTGGGTTAGTTTTAATTATTAGTTTCAGTTTTGTTTTTTCTGGCCCTAATTTCATTTACAAGCCATTAGTTACTTCTTTGTCCCTGTTTCTTTGTGAAAAATCTAAAACAAAAATATAGATTAAAAGCTAAAGACAATTTTAAATAACTGAACAACTCTTTACACAATATTGTAGTAAACTTTTTGAGCCAGTAAAGTAAATATAAAATCAGTTTTTTAGTATGCATTCAAACTAAATAAACATTACAATAACAGTTAAATAACTTAAATTGAATATTATTTAGTGTACATGTTATTTTTCAAGACCAAATGAAGAATATTTCTATAAATTAATTAAAATCATTTAATTTAACAGGCCTGGTAGTAAGATGCATGAAATAAAATCACAAACTTCACAGTGTTATTGCATTACAACACACTGACAAGTAAGTATAATCTGTGTTAAAAATTGTAATCGTATTTAGAAAATGTGTTATTTCTAAAATATAATCAGTTAAACTGTTTAATTCAATAGTTTTGCACAAGCATAAACAGAAAAATCCTTCATGTTTACTCAGCTAATTCTATCCAACATGTCATAAAGAGATCTGCACAGTTCAAAGGAATAAAGTGACTGAGCTGAATTTTATATTTTCAGGCCCACCAACAGAAATTCTGGGCCCCACACCAGAATAGTCAATGTCCCCCCTGAAATAATGACAAACTTAGAACAAATCTGAAAAATGAACTTCACTGTTACGTTTTTAATATTCAACAAAATAAGCAACAGAAAAATCAACAAATGATGTTAGGAAATGAATGGGGTGATGCTTGTTTAAAAATAATAGTAGTAATAAACTGTGAAGATCCCTTTTCAATGATGATGCATGTGTTGAAAATGTTAAATGTAATAACTCTTAAAAAATTCCCAAATATTAAAAGTGAAGAATACCTCTTGCCCAGCGTGGCAGAGGAGAAACTGACCGTGGCGAATGAGTTGGCAGAGGGAGAAAGGGGGGAATGGGAGATGGAGAGGGAGAGGGTTGCTGTCGTACTGTTGGAGACACTGGTAAAGAAAGAGTTATCTGTTAATTAATGCAGTACAAAAAAAAAAAGGACAAATGTTAGCCGAGAGCCTTTCTGCAATATTACAAAACACCTGGCAAAACAGCGAGATTTAACTACGTTTCTAACTATTTCCATTTTATTTTTCCTTGAAGTACTAGAATTCTCCTTTATGTTTATTTAGTTTAATCTTTTGAATCTGTAAAAAAAAACATTAAAATTTCTAATGACAAAAATGACGGTTCTGATTCATAGTTTACCTTCTCAGCCAGTGGTTCCCAACCTGGGGTCCGCGTAGGTAATACCATCTCATTAAACAAGTATGCTTTTTAATACTGATGTTTTTTTTTAATTGCACACTCAGTTATATATGTCTTTTATTCGATAGTGAAAAGTGGGAGAACGAGTTAATTATTAGTTAATAAAAACAGTTTGTTGGGTAGGCAGAATCTTTCAAAAACATGTGGGCTGTGAGTGAAAAATGATAATAAAAGGGGTCCTTGATGGAGAAAAGGTTGGGAACCACTGTTCTAAGCAGTTTAAAAACAAAAGAGAAATATTTCTAAAAAACAAAATTAAGATCATTCCATGCACCCGAGTTAGTTAATATGTTGTATAGCTATTCAGAATAATAGCTATGGCCTCAAGTTTACTGGATTGTTACTTGTTTTGAGTGGACAAAATATCAAATAAACAGACATTATTTGTAATTATGGCAGAACCACTAAGGCTACTTGCCACCATTTTTAATTTTCAACTGCTGACCAGAGAGAAAGCAGCAGTACTTTACCATTCACATTAAAGAACAGGTTATCAAACTTTAAATTTTGTGGAATATTTTGTGGTATTTCATAGATTCGAACCAGGTTCATCAACTCTGAAATCCAAAGCTCTACCACAATGAAGAGACAGAACTGAATTCACTAATTGCACCACTTCAGACGTTAGCAACATATTAATGTAGTAACAACAAAGTTGTCTCTCCATTTTAAAAATTAGGGATTTGTCATATCATAATATAATAAAATAAATTCCCTAAGTAAGCATGTGTAATTACTTTTCTCAACTACATTTGGTTTGTGTTGTTTCTATTTATTGGTCATCAACTAAATTGAATCCATAAGTTATGTAAACAACTTTAGTAAGTCAATCATGATGGCTCATTTCAAATTAACTTGAACATTTTTAGCTGTTAAACAAATTAACTTTTTCTGCAGTGAAAGAACCCTGATCCATGAATAATTCTATACTCTTTAAAATAAAACAACTCTTAAATTTTCTTTTTAACAAACAAGAATAGTACACTTAACAAGTAATATGTGTGGGTACATCTCCTATATTAATAAGAATGACATTTCTTTACTGACCCAATATGGATTTCCTATGAGAAGAAGAACAGTATACAGATTTACAATTATAACTACAGATAAAACTTTTACTTATATATTGATATAAAAATGTTGATTTTATGAAAAAAAAATTTTTAATAATAGCCAAAAAAAGGGAGTTACAAAATGTTATTACAGGTTGGAAAATCTTTGTTACATAACATTTTCTACCTAAGTACCTTTGTCAGAGAAGAAGTGATAATGAAGAGGAAGAGAGCGTGGAGGAGAGGAGCATTTTTCATCCTCCATCCTTTGCTCACCCTCCAGATTATATGAGACTGAAAAGAATAGTACCAGGTTAGTACATTATATACAATATGACTAGTCAATACCCACTCCAGTGAAACTAAGGTATAGTCTGGCCACTAAATACAAATATTTAGAAATTCAGGATGAATAAATGACAAACTAACGAAGTTGTAACAGTACATTTCAATATCTTGTACGGCTTTCAAAAAAAATAAAAAATCTTTACAACAGAAGTTGATGTACTCTCAATATATCCGGACACTCCACTAGCCAAAACAGCTTTAACTCGCAGTTTTTGATATCACATTAAATCCACATGCTGTTAACCTATTCACCTATGATTGTTTTAACCCACAGTAAACACAAACACATGTATCAACTTAAATCTGCATGCTGTTAACTCAATAACCATATTCTCAGAATAATCCAGCTTTACGATGTTCTGGGAAAGAACTTGGTAACTTTTCCACACCCAGCAATTTCTTTACTATCTGGGCTAAAGGGCAAATCCCATAATTATTTCTTGTAAGACACTTTAACAACTCATACTATCTGGCTACCACATTCCTCTTCTTTCACAAATAACTCTCATCCTTGGTCATAATCTAAATCTAGGGAATGGGATAGTATAAGCTTCGTGCCAATTGTTTTATGTCCCAGAATCAAATCTAGAAACTCCTGTATATTGAGCAAGCATTCTATATCTGAACTAAAAAGTTAATCCCTATAGTTACTGGTAGTAAAATACTTTTTAACCCTCCTCAAACAGGGTCATGGGATAGCTACATGCTGAGTGCCCATATTTCTGTAGTAATCTACCTTCTTCAGGTTTTGGAATCAAATCCAAGCAAGTGTCCTATTACTGAAGTAAAAGGTTTAACTCATGCTTATAAGACACCTCAATAAACTCAAAATACCTGATTATAATCTCCTTACTTTACCTGCTCTAACAGTATAAACAGATCCTAGTATAAAAGAAAATAATGTGATGTCACTTCAATCATTTACTCATGAGTGCTTGAATTTAGATCAGAAACAGATATGGATAACCTTTTAATTATTTACTAATTCAATAATTTAAACCCAGAGCAGTCCCACATATTGGGCATAATCTCATTTACTATTCACCACTTATCTAAAACCTTATCACCACTAACTAAAACCACACATTTATTCCAAAATATGGAGCCAACATTCTGAAAATAATGACAGCATCTCTCTTATACATGGTTACATGGTTCCTGCAGCCATCAAGTGACCAAATTTAAGACCTTTAATACCAATCCTTAGAAAATTTAAAAACTTATTTTCACAGCAGATTAACCAAAAAATAATAATAACAAAGAATTATTCAAATACACTATACAACTCACTTATTCTATTTTTAATTTATTTACAATAAACACTAATGTGTTTTAACAATGATGTATTTCTAATCTAGTAACATGACATGTTTTATTACTCTTGAACATATGTATCTACAGAGAGCGTGAACATTTTGTTTTGGCCACTGATTGATGTAATATTTTTTAAGACCTTCAGCAACACATGCAAGACTTTTCAAGGCCTTAAAAATACAAAAACCAATCTTAGACGTTTTAAGGATCTGCAGGAACCCTGTTATAAATCACTCACCCATCATTTGTAGCTCAGTGTTAAATCTGATGCTACTCATAACCTCTTTCACATTCTTGACATGAAATCCAAAACCAGGAATCAAAATAATACAAAAAAAATATTATTTCTACACTTGTTCAACTAGATCACTTTTCACACTCGGCATATATTTTATCCAGCAAAATACAAAAAGCAGATGTACCTCCAAGTTTTATCATTACAAATTATTTAAAATACACAATCAATGGCTCTCACATTTACAATTAACTTAAATCATTAATATAGTACATACATACTATATATAAAACAAAACACTATAATATCAGCTTTTTTCTTTCTTTTATTAATTTCTTCTACCGGTTTCATGACTTCAAAGAAAATTATAACTTAAATAATATCTTTATGATGGTTCAGATAAAGATGAATCCTTAGTAAAAGATCAATCAGATTTAGATTCTGTTCAAGAAATAAACCCAGAATTACAGTTTATTTGTCAAAAAACTGAATGATGTTCTATTACTGAAAAACAAGGAAAGAATAATTTAACATTAAAAGAGTGAAAGTCATTAAACTTAAAACTTCTAACTTGATATTTCAAAAAGCAAATACAGATAAAATATGGGTAATAATGTTTTTGGTTTGTATGTTTTGAATTTTGCACAAAGCTACATGAGGGCTAGCTCTGCTAGCTGTCCCTAATTTAGTAGTGTAAGACTAGAGGGAAGACAGCTAGTCACCACCACCCACCTCCAACTCTTGGGCTACTCTTTTACCAACAAATAGTGGAATTGACCATCACATTATAATGCCCCCACGGCTGAAAGGTCGAGCATGTTTGGTGTGACGGGGATTCGAACCCACGACCCTCAGATTGTGAGTCAAGCGCCTTAACCACCTGGCCATGTCAGGCTGGATAATAATGACCCAACAATTTTATAATCATATGTTTTATGAACATTTAAAGGATACAAAGGTATACCAAAAACGGGAAGTTTAAATAAATTGAGATGCATAACTTTCATAAAAGAAAAATTAAAGAATTTTGTTGATGAACTTAAGGTGATATTAACAAAAACACAAAAAGATTTTAAGTAATTTAGAAATTGGGTATTTTTATATACTTTCCAAAATCCATAAATCACAATAGATTAATGAATCATTGTTGGAAACAAAAAGTGAATTGATTCGTATTGGAAAACCTACCAATATTTCAGGAAGATTGATTATAGGAGATAATTAAAAAAATTACTGAACATTTAAGTGACCTTTCAGACATATTGTTCAAACGTTTTTGTTTTGTTTATCTCATATTCCTAGTCATATTAGGAATGAGTTTGAATTTGTTGAGAAATTGCCAAGAAAATCAGAGTTTTGTTTCATTAGACATGGTAGCTCTGTATTCAAGTATTGAACATGACTATGGAGTTAAAGCTGCGGAAAGTCTTCTAGATAAATAAAAGAAATTAATTTATCCCAAGTTTAATAAAGGTTTTATCTTAAAATGTTTAGATATAGTTTTAAAAAATTGTTTTTTTTACTTATGAAAAGCAAATCTTTCCCCAAATATCTGGTACAGCAATGGGCACAAAAGTCGCTCCAACTTATGCTGATATCACTACAGGATTTTTCAAATTACAATTATTTAATATACTACCTAATTATTTTGAAGATTAGTTTGTAGCTCACATAAAACTTTTTGGAAAAGATTTTTAAATGATTGTTTTGTAATATGGAAAGATATTCAAGATATTAATAAATTTGTTGGGATCTTAATTTCAATATACAAAGAAATTAAGTTTACCTTTGAAAGAAATAATAAAGGCTTGTCCTTTTTAGAAGTGTTGTTGTTCACAAGAAAAGAAAATTGTAACTGATGTATTTTATAAACCCACAAACTCTCATCAATATGTAGATTTTTTTTAAGTAATCACCCCAAACATATAAAATTAAATGTTCCTGTAAATCTTGCAAGTAGATTACATTTTTTTATTTCCAATTAAAAAACAAGAGGTAATAGATTATTAGAATTAAAATAATTTTTAGTTCAATGTCACAATCCAGAAAAAGTTATATTAAGAGGTTTTGAAATTGCTATGAAGAACTTTTTGAATAAAAAACATTTAAACAGACATTAGTAAACTAAAGAGAATGTTATACCTTTTGTTGCAATTCATTGCCCAGATATACATACTGATATTTCATTTGTTAATACATATTAACACAAATAGTAGATAAAAACTCAAAGATGTATTTTAAAAATAATAAAAGAAGGCAGCTTACAAATTTGTACAGATTATCGAATTAACCTAAAAAAAGGATTTTTCTAAAGAACGTATCTTCAGTTGTGACAGAAAGAACTATGCTTTATAAACAATTTAAATTATAAGAAATATAGCAAAACAATAAAGAACAATAACAAAGACATCTTGTTTTTATTAATAACTCATTTAATTGCAATTCTAAGAATGTAATATATGTTTTAGAATGTGTTAAATTGTGGTGAATTACATACTGGTGAAACAGATAATTTAAGATTAAAGAATAAATTTCGAGACCACTATATATGCCAGTAAAACATTTTAATGAATGTACTTTGAGAAAATTTAAACTTCTAAAAGAACCATATTTTCATGTTTTCCCATTTTGAGAATGTAATGTAACATAAAAATTATTTTTCCAAAAATATTTTATACATTTTTTTGGTGTCACTTTAAATAGATAGTAGTAAGAGGACAGAAGTAACTGGATGTGTAAAGTTAGTAGGAATTGTGAAACCGTGAACACAGTTACTAAGACTTGCACAAAAGAAAAAGTAAGTACAAGTATGAAATTATAAAATAAATTAATTGTAACTATTATAATAATAAGAGAAAGTATAATTAGAATAATATTTTAATTAACAAAGTATATTAACTAATTTTACTTATTTTTGATCATAGATTCTCAGTAAAACTATTTCCTGAAGAGTGACCTTTGAAGTCACGAAACTGGCAGAAGAAAGTAATAAAAGAAAAAAAGTCCTTATTGATGTTTTGGTTACATCATCTATATATATATATATATATATGTATGTATGTATCAGTAATAATTCCTGACATTGACATCTCAACTGGTGAGGAGGTAGCTATATAGAACTTTGTTTCATTTAATTTTGTACTTATCATATTTGTTGTACTTTATCTGTTGTAGTGTAAATAGTAATTTTATTTTGTGGTTCAAGCAACTACAATTTTAGTTTAAAAATTACTAATATATATAAATAAAATTACTATTTACACTACAACAGATAAAGTACAACAAATATGATAAGTACAAAATTAAATGAAACAAAGTTCAATAGCGAAATAATATATGTTTTTCTTAAACTAAACAAAAATGTAATTATGCGAATGTCTCTGGTAATGGTCACGAAGACAGTTTAACAGTGTTGGCCTACAAAAAACTAAGTAAGTACAAACAACATAATAAACTTAAATATATAGAGTAATTACAGCAGAAACCCTGGTAATGTACAACATCAATCAAAAAGTTGCATTTCTTAGTGATATAACAGAAAATCAAATTTTGAAAGATCAATTGCTTTCCATTATACAGCAAATTCTATGCAGACACTGAAATAAAAGGAGAAACTGCAAAACTTGGGTGAACTTGCTATCAGTTAAAAGCTATGAGTAAAAAACAAAAAGATAAAATGTGAAATAAAAATAACACACCATGCCTACAGTCACTCTCTATATTAAGTTGTGGAGTCAAATTTTAACTCAGTTGGTAAGTGAAAAAATTCCAACCAAAAATTTATCATGCCTAAATCAGGCACATTAATAACAAAACAAAAAATTTCGGGTAGTAGTCACATTCTCAGGAGCAAGCCCAAAAATGATGGGAAAACCACTACCTCTCTTGGGTGGACGCTGAGGACGTTCAATTGGGGCAAACATAGAGCTAAAATCCATACTAAAAATGTCACTGAAATCAGGATAGCTGATCGGCTCTCTGGCAGAGGTCTCTAGAAAATCAATGTTAGGCTTCAGATATTTCGAAAAACCAGATGGATTATTTGTTCTCTTTATACCATCATGCAAACAATTATATAAAATTAATTAATTGAAAAAAAAAATATACACTTAACTGCATCATAAGGTAGGCAATCAAGTATTAATCAAATAATGGAATTTCACTGCCTGGATTTAAACGCACCCACCTACGGCTCGAAGGTGTGATTTAGCAGCAACAAAACACAAATCGTGGATCCACAGTTTTACATACTAACCACTCAATAGTAACTTAAAATAAAGATCTAAACATAAAATTGAGAATATTGAGGATCTATAATGCTACAACTTTCTTATAAAATACTGAAAATAAATCCTGAGTAAGTCCAGGATCCTCATCGTGCAATCTTTTCAAGCAATTCAAATAAGTTACCTTGTCACTGAGGTGACACATTGTGCAACAGAAACAGTGATGTCAGGCTTCAAAGATAATAGTTATCACTAAAAAACACAACAGAAAATCAACCAGTCTTAAAAATACAGTTTCAGCAAATTATACAACTATGTGTGATGATCTGATGTATTTAGCTGATACAGAATATCACTACCAAATCCTTTGATCTATAACAGCATACACACACAAATTATACAACCTTGTGTGATGATCTGATGTATTTAGCTGATACAGAATATCACTACCAAATCCTTTGATCTATAACAGCATACACACACAAATTATACAACCTTGTGTGATGATCTGATGTATTTAGCTGATACAGAATATCACTACCAAATCCTTTGATCTATAACAGCATACACACACAAATTATACAACCTTGTGTGATGATCCGATGTATTTGGCTGATACAGAATATCACTACCAAATCCTTTGAGCTATAACAGCATACACACACAAATTATACAACCTTGTGTGATGATTTAATGTATTTAGCTGATACAGAATATCACTATCAAATCTTTTGAGCTATAACAGTATACACACACAAATACACATATACCTCTGACTACTACACTTTTTAAAGTTCCAGATGTTTTGCTACTTAAGAGGACAGTGACTTTTAATCTCAAATTATTATTTTTACTTTAAACAATAACTTATGCAAATAACATACAAAGGCACACCTTACAACATCACCTGTCTTACTTTTGTTAGCTTGTATAAAAATAATGGAATAGGCTTTGTATACAGTGATGACATGGAAAAGGAAAGCAGTCACTGCAATCAAACTTTAGTTTCATTCTTTTGATCCAAGAAAGTTATGAAGTATGATTGTTTTTCGTAATGTTCACTGTATAGGAATTGGACTGTAAATGTCATTATTAATTAAGATAAAAAAAACTGACTACTGACAAAAAAAAAAAAACAAATAAAAACTGGCCACCAAAAAATTCCTAGTTTTAATCAACTGTGTATTTCTCTCTAATCTTTTTTTAAATACTATTTGCAAAACCCACAGACAATGCATGTCAGAACCACATCACTTACACACCTGCGTATCAGAAACTCTTAACTTTTTTTTCTCGACAAAACGTTACTCTTTATATTCTAAACCATGCTGGTCTTGGTTAGGAAACATGGCAATGCTGTAATATTTAACAAGTAAGTAACAATAAACAAAGAGTAAACCAAACCTTCTTTGAGATTTGTTAACATCTAATTTGTGATTTTTTTTTTCTAAATACAGTTTTATGATATTAATAGTTTCTTTCTGGAACAGGATGCTGCAAGTGTTCCATACTGAGTTTAACAAAAACCAACTCCTCAAAAAACTAAACTCATTTACTTGTATGATCAGGCTTAAATACATCATCATCACAGTTATTCTTCATGTTTATTATGTTCTCTTGAAACAACAACTATAACTTCATTTATTACAAAAAAAGTAATTACTTCTATATAAATAAAATAAAAATAAATAAAAAAATGTTATGATTCATCCTATACTTCAAAACAACGTATAGAGAAAACTGTATTTAACAGCTTACAAACATGGCAAAACTGACTACATACTGAGAGTAGTATTAATAAATTACCTTAATAACTCTATACTATATGCTTATAATATGCAATAATTACAATTAATAACTATAATATTAATTTCAGCATATTTTCAAACCAATCAAGATATGCAATAACACTTCAAGTTTCTTAAAAACTTCCATCACCATATTACGTGTAACAATAAACGTGTATATAAAATGTTTGTAAAACATATTACTTTAATAGTATGACGACTCACCACTGATGTGAAGGTTGTGCATGTCTGGGGGTGGAGGGACCACTGGAGGTTCAACTTCAGGAGTGATGGTTACGGCGTAACGTACCTGGCCCACTGAAGTTACCAACTATGATAAAAATGAGCTGTAGTTTAATATTTCATAACTGAAAGTTCTAATTATGATCATAAAACCAATAAATTCCTACTTCTCAAGCTTTAGCCACCTTTATTTGCAAGTACTATTTGAAATAAGTACAAACACAATTTACAATTGTGACAACACTTTACCAAGGCATGCTTTCAAATATACTGGATTTAGAGGGTGGGAAGAAAAAGCCAGTTTGGAAAGATTAGTGAAAGTCTTGGAATCTGCCTTTTCTTTTTAGGATAGCTGTTTAAAGTAGTGACACTGCACATCTTATTAAAATCATCAAGAAGTTTATAACATCCAAATAAGTAATGGCAGCTCCTACACACAAATCATCATGTTTGCTACCTGTGTGAATGTACAGCTTACCTTGAAACTGTCTTTACTTCACTTGTTTTAATTACTACAACATTGGTTGTAAGATGTTTGTGTGTCCCATGGGAGTGTAGTGTCTGCTTCTTTTTTGAAAGTTAGTAATATAAGTTGGCTGCTTTGACACAAAAAACAGATTCCATATAAAGCATCAACCACATAAAGGAAAAAATACAATAGTAAGCAATTTAGTGAGCTTAGTAACTGTTTCCAAGACAAAGCATTTCTTATTAATGAAACGAGACATCACATTTACAAAACACAGGTGGCATATAGGATTACTCAACTCCAGTGTGAACAAGTAACTTAATACTAGGAGTCTGTACTTTGGACTGCAGAAGTCAGATGTAACACTTAACTTGATTATTTCTACTGCCTTATATTAACCTGATATACACCATCTAATAAAGTTCAATAGCTAGTTTCTTGCAGCTAAAGTCCGCTGCTAAGGATATACTTTAATAACTTTAGACAAACTGCAAGAAATATAAATAAAAAATGGCCTCAGTACGGGTAAAGAAGTTTCTTATTTTACAACCATTAACAAAGTATGGATGATGTGAATAATAAACAAATACAGTTTTCAGCAGGATAAAAAGTTTCAAATATAAAAAAAAAATTGCTATTTTTGTAAGGAAAAACATAATTAAGTTAGCAAATTTTGGCTAAACAACACTCACCAGACACAAATAATGTAGTTTATTAAAAAAATATTAGTCATTTACTTTCTTCCCCTTGCAACAATTTTAATAATTTCTTTATATATGCATTTGAAAATTTGAATAAAACACCAAACATTAAACACTCACAGCCTTATTTGATTCTCGCCACCGAGATATAGCTCGCTGATCTGTAGTATCCATGGCAACTGCCTTAGCATCCTGTACCATAGGAGTTACAGCTATATAGTAAAAAAAAAAGGAAGATAAAGGATAACAGAAAATACAATAAACTTGTTTACAATGTTTTATGCTTTCTGTTATCCAATCTATAGAAGTGTTTATTGTATATTTCTTGACACTGAAAAGTTATTGGAAACTTCAGAGTTCCACCATTGTATTTTCATGCTTACATCCAAATACTTGTATGTTTATCAAACAAATTAAAGCACTAAATTGTCCTTTGTGGAGAGAATTAAAAAAATACAGTAAATGACAGATTTGTTACTTACCTTTGAGGTTTTAGAAAGTTGAAACAACAAACATTTCTCCTACACCAACTTTTCTAGAATCCATTTATAACAAAATAAATTGACTTTGCAAGTACAAAATTCTGTAGTTTAGTTCAGTGAAAGTCTTAATCATACCCACTTGAGCTTAATTATTACAAAGATAAACAGTCACTGGTGGCAGTAAGAACACTGTTTCCATTGAGAGAGAAATATAGTAAATACAAAAGTTACACTAGTAATTTCAAGTGTTTCTTGCTAGCCCTTTGTTTATCAGATCTTGCTAGTCCTAGAATAACTGACAAGGTCCCTAATAATGTGACTTGTATACAAATATGTAAACCAAAATATCATCAATACTGCCATGAATCCTACTAAATCACTACTGCGCAGTTTACACAGAAAATGAGTGATTTCATACAATTATTTTTAAGTAGTTCTTTACAGTGAATGTTGTAACACACAAACATGAAATCACTCAATACGATGCAACACATGGGTCATGCCTGTAGTGAATGGTATACAAGTAAGATAGTTTATATTAGAGTTAAGGGATATATAGCTCTATATGGTAAAATTCACTAGGAAAACTGGCATAACTCTGAACTGTAATGAGAACCGACTCTGCAAAGAGGTGTAGTTCTGAATTATTATAATGACTTTGAAAAAAATGTGTAATTCTACTTAAGAAGACTTTGAAAACACAATTTTGTATAACAATAACATATTTTTCCCAATACCCACAATTCAATTATCAGGATACCCAGTTAACAAATAATACATAAAGCTAATTTATCAGGACACCTTATGAACTATAAGTTTAGTTTCTTTATAAACTGAGAACTCTAATATCCAAAACAAGGCAGCTGCACTCTTTTCAAAATCTTTTCTGCCCAAACTTTCCAGGTAATATACTAAATATTCTAGACCTGCACATACACACACACACACACACATACATACATAATAAACACCAGTCTAACTTATAATATGTTTACAAAAACTTCAGAACATCCTTCTTCAGACTAAAGTACTACAGAAAATGATCTTCAAAAGGGACATTGAAATTTGATGGTAGAAAATAAAATGTTACTCTTTATCTATAAAACAATATTTGGTCTAATCTATCATCAAATATAATTAATTAGAAGATTAACACCAAATTAAATAACACAATTACGAGCAAGATTATGTTGAAATATACCTATAACTGGCATAGCTAAGTAGCAGATAAAAAAAATGGGGGAAGAGGGAGCACAATCCTCCCTTACTTTGTTTTTACCCTCCTTTAAATTTCTTGACTTTTCTAGATTTGTCACCACTCTGTAAACCTATTGATCACCAGGTCACTGCACACTTATGATACTTAACCCAATTACTACCGGCTACTAACTTTCTATGTAGCCAATGCAACTCTTGGTATGTTTTGTTCCAACAACAACGCTAGTGGATGAAATTGTTTGAAACTTCATAAGAACTTTCATAAATGCACATAAAGCCTG